GGCCTGGAGCCTAAGGAGCCAAGAGGCCCGAGATTCGGTTGGCCCGCGCGGCACCACACATGGGCGGCGGGGGCCCCCACAGGGGAGGGCCCCGCCGCTCGACACCGGCCGCGCGACTCTCGCTCACAGACGAAGGCGCCCGCTCCCGTGTGGAGCCGTTTGGCCTGCCGGGCCCCCAAGGACCCCCTCGTGGCCCCTCCGCGGGTTTGGAGGGCAGACCTCCCTCCTCGGGAGGGAGACCTTTTCCTCCTCCCCTTTTTGTTCCTCGCCTTGAGGGCCCCCAGCTTCAGCTCCAGCTCATCCAGACCGAGGACTGGGGAGCCCAACGCCTGCGTCAAGTACAAGGTTCGGACGACTCGTACGGGTTCGAGCATGGACGCGGGGAGCCCCTAGGGAAGGGGGCTCCGACACGAGAGGTCCTCGAGATGCTCTCACAGACGAAGCTCCCGCTCGAGACTTCCGACCGATTCAGGCCTGACGACTCTACAGTTGACGACGGCTACGGGATTCGGATGGCCCGCCCGGGCTCGAAAATGGAAGAGGGGATCCCGTATGAATGGGGATTCCCGCTTGAGACGTCCTCGCGATTCACTCACAAAATGAAGCTCCCACTCAAAACCTCCTCCATATTCAGGCCTGGGAAGCACAAACGCGACGACAATTACAGGATTTGGATGACCCGCTCGGAATCAAACATGGAAGAGGGGACGCCAGAGGGATTGGGCCCCCGCTCGAGACTTCCTCGTCCTCCACCCACAGAGTTGGAGTGGGATGACCCGCTCGAACTCGAGCATGGGAATCGGAGACCCCGAGGGATGGGGCTCTCGCTTGAAACGTCCTCGCGGATCACTCCCTGACGAAGCTCGTGTTCGAGGCATCCTCCAGGTTCACGCCTGAGGAGCCAAGCACGACTACAGTTGCAAGATTCGGCTGACCCGCTCGGAATCGAACATGCAAGTGTGGACGCCTTAGGGAGGGGGCTTTCGCTCACGACTTTCTTGCGGTTCACTCACCGACGAAGCTCCCGCTCGAGACCTCCTAGTTCCTTCAAGTTCAAACCTGAGGAACAGCCAGCAACGACAGTTATCGCATTCGAGTGACCCGTTCGGATCCGACCATTGGGATGGGGCCACTGCCCGGAGCTTCCTCGCGGTTCACTCACCGACGAACCCCCGCTCGAAATTTCCTCCAGGTTTAGGCCTGACGAGCCAAAAGCCACGACCACTATGTGATTCGGACAACCCGCTCGGACCCGAACGCGGAAATCGGGAACCCATCGGGAGGCCCCCCCCGCTCGATATACCTCCTCGCGGTCCACGCACCGGGGCGGAGCCCCCGCTCGAAACCTCCTCCAGAGTCAGGCCGGGGGAGCCCACATGTAGCGACGGTTCCAAGATTAGGTCGGGCATGCCCCTCTACAGGTGGATTTTGGGCGACCAGGTAATCAAACAATGTTCAAACTAGTCGAATAATCGACAACAGATAACCCCCAATAATTTTGTTAACAGTTCTCCTGCAGAGAGCATGCCCGACTGAATTCCAAGATCTGGATGACCCGCTCGGATTCGAACGCGGAAGTGGGAACTCCATAGAAGAGGGGGTTCCTGCTCGAACTTTCCCTGCGATGCACCGATTCACTCACAGGGGGAGATCCAGCTTGAGACCTTCTTCAGATTCAGGCCTGAGCGACGATAAGTGTGGAAGGTGATGCTGATGGTGATAATGACGATGATTATGAGGAAAATGATGATGAGGAACATGATGATGCTGATAATGATGACGGGTGATGATGATGATGATGATGATGATGATGATGATGATGATGATGATGATGATGATCCTTGATAGTGATGATGATAATGATGCTGATGCTGATGATGAAACTGATCATACTGATGATGGTGACTCTGATGATGCTGAGTATGATGATGATGATCATGATGATGATGATTATGATGATGATGATGATAATGATGATGATGATGATGATGATGATGATGATGATGATGATGACGATGAGGATGATGATGCTGATGTTGATAATGATGAGAGTCAAATGGCGAGTGTAGAAGGACAAGAGAGGAGACGGGGGTGTGCATGACAAACAAGAAACACGCTTAGGATGAGAAACGCAAACAAACTGCATCAACATACACGATCGGAGGTCCGCGCGGATTTTGTGGGACGCCCATCCCTGGCGCGCGGAAGAGCGCCAGGGGCGGCGCTGGAAGCGTCGCGAGGGGGTCGCGGCAGATCATGACGTTTGAATGCTCATGCTCATGCTCAGGCCGGGCCAGGCACCGCTTATGCTCATGCCGATGGAATCCCTCGAGTATTGACCGATCGACCGACCGACGGCGGCAAGGGCCAACCGACGACGGGTGGCCGCGGAGGGCGCCAGAGGGCCCTCCCCACCGAACCGGGCCGAACGACGACGCGGCACCGAGGCGCCTCCTGGGCGTCTGAAGGCGCGGGCTCCGGCAGCGGCTCGAGCTCCCCGTCGCTGCAGCCGCCGCTGGCGGCGGTGGAGTCGACGGAGGGCGTGGGCGAGGCCTCTTGGTGGGGGGGGCGGGGAGGAACTCAGGGCTCCGAGGAGACCCAGAGATCCGAGGTCGTGATCTTCCATGCGGGGTTGCCGGGAAACTCGACCCATTCCCCAGGACCGGTTTGTCATCCTGGGTGGATTTTTGACAACCCCGAGGCCCTGCAAGGGCTCGTCGAGGCCGAAGACTACGAAAAAAACCTCCGTCATGATTCTCTCAATGCGCTGGGTCTCTGGGGACGATGTGTTCGATCAGGGGCGTGCTTGCCTCGCGGCGTTCCGGGGGCGTGTTCGGGCCCAACGGGCCCATCAGAACTGGGTCGGGGCCGACAGACTGGCCCCTGGGGAAGGGGTCGGGACTTGGCGGGCCCCCGATGAGGATCGGAGGAGGGCTAGTCCGCAGACGTTGAACGTCTTGAAGAAATCCACAGATCGGGGGCACGCAGACATGGATCAGCGATGCACGGATGTGGCGCGTGGTCGCCAAATCCATGGATAGGGGGAGGTGCCCTCCCCAAAATGCGGCCGGTGCCGCCTCGCTCGGCGGCGGAAATCCGCTATCTCCTATGGAAACATTGAAGCCTCAACCCCTGTTTCATGAAACGCGCACAGATCCCGACGGAGGACCACGTTCAGCACAGGAGCTCCGAAAGGCGTCCCGAGCGGGAGCCCAACTGAGCGCAAGTTAAGGTAGCTACAGCTCAGGCAAACGTCAGCCAAGGGTCGGCCGATTTTGCGATTTAGTTTCGTCGTCGTCAGAACTGAGCAGAAAATGAAAACGACCCACGAGATTACCGAAAACAGCGATTTGGCCGACCCCTAGTAGCTACAGCGCCTCACAACTCGCCAACGCGAGGGTGGGTGTCTTTGATCTAAAAGGGATTGCCGAAACAAATCCTGGCCTTGGCATCGAAATCTGATGCGGGGAAACTTGAAGATGCCAAGATACCGTACGCCGCTCGGTGCAACTCAATGGATATAGTTCTCAGCGTTTGCAGCTGCAGAGAACTGAGGCATTCATGTGGCGAAGATTCTGCTCTGACGTTTAGCTTCATCACTTTGGCCTTCCTAGACGTCGCGCACGTGTTCGCAGCATTGAAGTCATCGCAGACAATATCGGTCATCTTATCGGGGCCCATCACGTGCACCTTCACAGCAGAAAAATGAGCGGCGTAGCGACTATGTAGAGAAGTCGTGAACGAGTAGTTGTACGCGTAGTGCTCCATCTGTGAAACGCTTCGCCAATCTGCGAAGGTCAATTCAACCTGCCCGTGAGCCTTGAGCTGCCGATACCAACTTGCGATCCAATCGTAAAATGGTCGGTAAACCATCACGATGGTGGTACTGATGTAGCTTAAGTCAAACGCGAGCTGTGCGACGCTGGTGTCATTGATCTGGTCGAAACGCTCACTAGACATCACTACCATTTTTTGAAGTCCCTTTGAGCTGGTCAAGAAAGTGCAGCCAATCTGAACAAAGTGTTTCTGTGTAGTCCCTGCACATGGACTGGGACGACAGATAACACTCTGCAACATTCGCGATTTGAGTCATTCGTACATGCATAATGTGCCCGAACTGCGCAGGGTCTTCCCACGTCCAGCCGTCACTTGTTAGAGTCTGCCAAGCTTCAAGTTGTTTCCGAATTGTTGTCGAAGCAGTTTTGTGGGGGCCCACATGAAGCCACAGTCTTGCACCCCTTTCCGTTGAATTAGAACTTGATTCACCCATTGCCCATGTATCAATCCGCACATGGCCCAAAAACACTAACGCGGCGGATAACTTCATCTGACACGGGCCCTTGAGCCAACATGGCTACGGGCTCTCTTGGGGCCGCCTTGGGGCCCTCTGAAGCCGCTTTGGGGCCCTCTTGGCCCGTCGTGGGGCCCTTGGGCCGCGTCACTCGAACAGATACGAGGAAACGGGCCATGGGAGCCGCCCGGGAGCCGCTTCACTCGACAAAATAACGAGGCGCGAGAGCAACTAGACTGTTGTTCCCCCGCTAGCCCCCTCCCCCAGACCCCCTCCCCATAAGGGCTTCGCCCCCTGCGAAACGTCTCTTGCTCGTATATCGCTCTTTCCGTCATCCGCCGCCTCCTGCTGACTTATCACAGGGGTGCATGGCGTGATAGACGTCTGCTGGCTCTAGGTTCTTGGGTTTCGGCCCAGCGCGCCAGCCGCTGGGAGAACTCGTCCAAACCCGGCTGGCAAGGATTTATCTGCTGCAGATGGCTCTGATATTGCTCAAGATGGCTTCCAAGATGCCTCCAAGACGGGCAGGGGCAAGATGGCCCCAAGAGAGCGCTAGATAGCCTCAAGATGGCTTCAAAGACGGTCCCAAGATGCATCCAAGATCGCCAAGATGGTCCAAGAGAGCCCAAGACGGCCCGAGGAGCGCCCAAGAGGCCCCGAAGACAACCCAAGAAGGCTCTTTGTCATTTGCTCAAACACGGCCTTCCGACGGCCCAGGAGGCCCCCAAGATTGTCTCGAGATCGCCCATAGAGACCGTCAAGATGGCCCCATGTCGGCCCAAGGACGCCCCAAGGCGGCTCAGAGAGGCTCCCAAGACGGCTTCTGACGGCGTCAGACGGGCTAGGAACGCTGCAAAACTGCCACAGATGCCTACAAGAAGCCCCCAAAGGCCCCCAAGAGGCCCAAGGAGGCCCCCAAGGAAGCCCCCAAGAGGCCTCCAAGAGGCCCCCAGGAAGCTCCCAGGAGGCCCCAAGAATGACCCGAACAGCTTCCAAGCGGGCTGCTCATCTTTCTCCTCCTCCTCCTCCTCCTCCTTCTCCTCCTCCTGTATCCTCCTTCTCCTCATCCTCCCCTTCCTCCCCCACGTGTTCCTCAAAGGGCTTCCGCAGCGGCTGGGGAAGGAATGGCGCACAAGCGTGGCCAAACGTTGCCCAAACGTTTGGCCACATAGGCGTACCATGAAAGGCAGGAGGCGGCGGTGTCTCGCCGTGGGCGTCTCCGATCCGCCGCCCCTTGTATTACTTGCAAGAGACGTTATTGGCGTGCTGGGCAACAACCGTTTATACCCTGACAAGATGTTCCCCATGGCTTCTGGCACACCCCGGCGGCAACACTGAATAGCCCCGAAGAAGCACAGAGTCCTCTCCCATGGCCTCCAAGGCGGCCAAGATAGCCCAAGATGAGCTACAAGACGGTCCCAAGGTGCCTCCAATACGTCCGAGATGTCCCTAAGAGGGTCCAGGATGGCCCAAAGGCGCATCCAGGACGGCCCACGAAGCACTCAGGACGGCCCGAGATGGCCTCCAGACGGCTCAAGCGGCTTCTAAGGCGCTCCAAAGTGATGTTATGAGGATCTCCAGGAGGCGCTCAGGAGGCCAACAATCAGTGATGCCCCGACGGCCTTCCAAAGCTTCGGAGCATCGCCCCTTCGGGCTTCCACGAGCGAGGGCGGCCTCAGATGCTTCAAAGATAGCGCCAGGGCGACCCACGAAGCACCAAGCTGGGCCCCGAGACGGTCCAAGAGCGCCCCAATAGGGCCCAAGAGGCTCCCAATACAGCCCTACACAAGACGACTCCAGAGACCTCCAAGACTGCCCGAAAGCGTCATCTCTTGGGGCGCATCCTTGACTTCCGCCTCCTTCCGTCGGCCTTCCGCCAGCTTCCGCCGGCGGAGGCGGCCTCGTTCTACTTCTGCCGCCTTTCGCTGGCCGTCCGCCGCCTTCCGCCGAGGGAGAGATGGCAACTCCTTCAATCCTCGAAGGCATGGCCCTTTCTGGAACGCCCCATACAGTCAACCAGTATAGTAACGATGCGCGATAAGGATACAAGGTCCTTGGACGCCCGTGTCGAAGCTTTTCGAGCGGGGCGCGGCCAGCGAAAGCGACGAAGGATGCACCGAGGAGGCAAGGATGCAAGGGTACCCTCGGTAAGGTTGCCCATCCTTACTATGCAGGTTGACTGCATTGTCAAGTCGCTATCCCTTTACCTCTTCCTCTCCCCCCAGCTAAAGGGCGGGGCTGGGCCTGGGGCCCTCTTGGGGCTCTCTTGGGGCCGTCTGGGGGCCCTCTTGGGGCACTCTTGGGCCGTATGGGGGCCCTCTTGGACAGTTTCCGGCCCCTTTGGGGGGCCTCTGGGGCCGTCTTGGGACGATCCTCTGGCCCTCTTGGGACTATCACAGAAATTCGTACGTACAGACGGGCCAGAGGAAGGAGATAGCCAACTCCAGGGCGAGAGAAAGACGGAGGACAGAGATAGAAGGGAGGAGGGAGTGCGGCCATTGTTCCCGCTGACAGCGTCAAGCGCAAAAGCTGAGTCCTCCAAATGAGCTGCTAGCCCTCGGCAAGTGGGGAAAAAGACGCATCCTCGCCGCGCAGCTGTTGGAGGATATGGGGTCTCTCATCACCCGATGAGTGCATAGCCATGGCCCAGTGAGATCATTCTGTCCGGGTGAGATAAAGCGGCCATGGTCTGCAACTGTTCCGCGGCAGTCCCTGCTCAGTGCGCGAGGCCTCCCTCGCAAAAGGGAAAGACAATGCCTTGGCAAGCGCCACAAAGCCCGGTTTCATGAAACGCGCACTGAGATCCCCGACGGAGGACCATGTTCTTCAGCACAGGAGCTCCAAAGGCGGTGCCAGAGCGGGAGCCCAACTGAGCGTCAAGCTAAGGTAGCTACAGCTCAGCAAGCGTCAGCCATGGGTCCGGCGATTGCGTTAGCTTTGGTCGTTCGTGCGGTGTCGTCGTCCAGAAAACTGACAGAAAATTATCGCATGCGAGGACCCAACCATATGCAGTTGTGAGTATCGCAATTGTGAGTACTTTCTTCGGTGGCGCTCCCTATGGGGCCACGAACCGCATGAGGGGTGTGCCGAAATGTGGCGGGGTACACAACGCAAAGGAATACGATAGATCTGATTACGAGAGAAAGAACGCGGGTGAGTCAGAGCGCGAAGGAATCTGAGTATGAATGTATGAATGGGTCTGCGCGCGAGTGAATATATTTGCATGAATGCGATCATGGAACCGCCTAGTGTAAGTGTCGAGCATGCCTGTCCGAACACACGTGACACTGGGCGTGGCCGCCGCAGGCAGCTTCCGCGGGAACCCCGACGGCAGCGTCCGCACGGCGCGACGCCCATGTCGGCACGCCTCTTGCGAGGATCGCGCCCGCTTTCGGCTCTTCTTTTCCTTCCTCTTTGCCCGCGCACTCCAAAATCCAAGGCTGCGGGCGCAGCGCAGCGCGGAGTCCCCGCGACGCGCGCCGGTCGCCCCGGGCGGGGCCCCAGCGACGCGCGCGGGTCGTCCGCTGCGCGAAGCAGGGAGAGCTGACTAGCTAACTGGCTGGCTGATAGCGGGCAAGTCTCTGACCGCTGGGCAGAGCGACGACGGGCGAACGAGGCGCCGGGCCCCCCGCAGCGCGGAGTTCCCGCGACGTGCGCTGGTCGCCCCGAGAGGGTCCCAGCGACGCGCGCGGGTCGTCCGCGGCGCGAGGCCAAACAATTAGTCGGGCAGTCGAGAGAAGGCGCGGCTCGGTGGAGACGCTCCTCAGGTCAGGCCTCGCGGATGAACTCGGTGAAGCCGAGCTCCCTGGCGAGGGCCGTCGCTTCCCTCCTGCACCGCTTCGTGCGCGCCGCAAACTGCTCCAGCTGCTTCCGCAAGCCCTGCGGCGGCCCTGCCAGGAAGAACTCGCTGCGCGGCGCCCGCATGAGCAGGAGGTCCTCGTGGCGCGTGGCGCGCGAGAGCAGCACGTAGAGCTCCAGCCACCAGTCGTCGTCCTCCTTCTTGCCGTTCCCTACCTCGTGGCGGCCGCAATCCAGGATCACGCCTGGGCGACGTCGACCGAGGGATCAGCGCGCCGGGCAGCCGACGGCCCAGGGCGAGAGTCCACAGGACCGAGAGATGGTCTGGCCGCGGACTGCTCGCGCCCCGGAGGTCTGGCCGCCCCCGGAGCGCCGTTCCCCCGCCCCGTCGCCTTCGCGCAAGGTGCGCCCCTGGCACGCCACCGTGGTGATGACCCTGCCGTGCGAGAAATGCGGGGGTGTGCCGAAATGGGTGGGGGTGACGCATGCGGGCGGCGGCACTGAGGCCTTCGGTGGAGCTCCCTATGGAGCCACGAAACGTGTGAGGGGTGTGCCGAAATGGGTGTGGGGGACGCATGCGGCCGCGGGCACTGGGGCCTTCGGTGGAGCTCCCTATGGAGCCACGAAACGTGTGAGGGGTGTGCCGAAATGGGTGTGGGGGACGCATGCGGCCGCGGGCACTGGGGCCTTCGGTGGAGCTCCCTATGGAGCCACGAAACGTGTGAGGGGTGTGCCGAAATGGGTGTGGGTGACGCATGCGGGCGCGGGCACTGGGGCCTTCGGTGGAGCTCCCTATGGAGCCACGAAACGTGTGAGGGGTGTGCCGAAATGGGTGTGGGGGACGCATGCGGCCGCGGGCACTGGGGCCTTCGGTGGAGCTCCCTATGGAGCCACGAAACGTGTGAGGGGTGTGCCGAAATGGGTGTGGGGGACGCATGCGGCCGCGGGCACTGGGGCCTTCGGTGGAGCTCCCTATGGAGCCACGAAACGTGTGAGGGGTGTGCCGAAATGGGTGTGGGGGACGCATGCGCCGCGGGCACTGGGGCCTTCGGTGGAGCTCCCTATGGAGCCACGAAACGTGTGAGGGGTGTGCCGAATGGGTGTGGGGACGCATGCGGGCGGGCACTGGGGCCTTCGGTGGAGCTCCCTATGGAGCCACGAAACGTGTGTGGGGTGTGCCGATGTGCCGGGTGTGGGGGGTGTGGACGCATGCGGCCGCGGGCACTGGGGCCTTCGGTGGAGCTCCTATGGAGCCACGAAGCGTGTGAGGGGTGTGCCGAAAATGGGTGTGGGGGACGCATGCGGCCGCGGGCACTGGGGCCTTCGGTGGAGCTCCCTATGGAGCCACGAAACGTGTGAGGGGTGTGCCGAAATGGGTGTGGGTGACGCATGCGGCCGCGGGCACTGGGGCCTTCGGTGGAGCTCCCTATGGAGCCACGAAACGTGTGAGGGGTGTGCCGAAATGGGTGTGGGGGACGCATGCGGCCGCGGGCACTGGGGCCTTCGGTGGAGCTCCCTATGGAGCCACGAAACGTGTGAGGGGTGTGCCGAAATGGGTGTGGGGGACGCATGCGGCCGCGGGCACTGGGGCCTTCGGTGGAGCTCCCTATGGAGCCACGAAACGTGTGAGGGGTGTGCCGAAATGGGTGTTGATGATGATGATGATGATGGGAGGGGGGAGGAGGCAGCGGGAGGAAGGAAGGAAGGAAGGAAGGAAGGAAGGAAGGAAGGAAGGAAGAAGGAGAACGCGGGGCACCGTCTCTTCAAAACGAGGACCCAACACCACAGGATGGTTGGGAATGAAAACGACCCACGAGATTACCGAAAACAGCGATTTGGCCGACCCCTAGTAGCTACAGCGCCTCACAACTCGCCAACGCGAGGGTGGGTGTCTTTGGTCTAAAAGGGATTGCCGAAACAAATCCTGGCCTTGGCATCGAAATCTGATGCGGAACAACTTGAAGATGCCAAGATGCCGTACGCCGCTCGGTGCAACTCAATGGATATAGTTCTCAGCGTTTGCAGCTGCAGAGAACTGAGGCATTCATGTGGCGAAGACTTTGTTCTGACGTTTAGCTTCATCACTTTGGCCTTCCTAGACGTCGCGCACGTGTTCGCAGCATTGAAGTCATCGCAGACAATATCGGTCATCATATCGGGGCCCATCACGTGCACCTTCACATCAGAAAAATGAGCGGCGTAGCGACTATGTAGAGAAGTCGTGAATGAGTAATTGTACGCGTAGTACTCCATCTGTGAAACGCTTCGCCAATCTGCGAAGGCCAATTCAACCTGCCCGTGAGCCTTGAGCTGCCGATACCAACTTGCGATCCAATCGTAAAATGGTCGGTAAACCATCACGATGGTGGTACTGATGTAGCTTAAGTCAAACGCGAGCTGTGCGACGCTGGTGTCATTGATCTGGTCGAAACGCTCACTAGACATCACTACCTTTTTCGAAGTTCCTTTGAGCTGGTCAAGAAAGTGCAGCCAATCTGAACAATTGTTTCTGTGTAGTTGCTCCACCTGGACTTGGACGACAGATAACACTCTGCAACATTCGCGATTTGAGTCATTCGTACATCCATAATGTGTCCGAACTGCGCAGGGTCTTCCCACGTCCAGCCGTCACTTGTTAGAGAGGTCTGCCAAGCTGCAAGTTGTTTCTGAATTGTTGTCGAAGCAGTTTTGTGGGGGCCCACATGAAGCCACAGTCTTGCACCCCTTTCCGTTGAGTTAGACCTTGATTCACCCATTGCCCATGTATCAATCCGCACATAGCCCAAAAACACTAACGCGGCGGATAACTTCATCTGACACGGGCCCTTGAGCCAAAATGGCTGCGGGCTCTCTTGGGGCCGTCTTGGGGCGCTCTGAAGCCGCTTTGGGGCCCTCTTGGCCCGTCTTAGGGCCCTTGGGCCGCGTCACTCGAACAGATACGAAAAAACAAACCATGGGAGCCGCCCGGGAGCCGCTTCACTCGACAAAATAACGAGGCGCGAGAGCAACTAGACTTTTGCTCCCCCGCTAGCCCCCTCCCCCAGACCCCCTCCCCATAAGGGCTTCGCCCCCTGCGAAACGTCTCTTGCTCGTACATCGCTCTTTCCGTCATCCGCCGCCTCCTGCTGACTTATCACAGGGGTGCATGGCGTGATAGACGTCTGCTGGCTCTAGGTTCTTGGGCTTCGGCCCAGCGCGCCAGCCGCTGGGAGACCTCGTCCAAACCCGGCTGGCAAGGATTTATCTGCTCCGGATGGCTCTGATATTGCTCAAGATGGCTTCCAAGATGCCCCCAAGACGGGCAGGGGCAAGATGGCCCCAAGAGAGCGCTAGATAGCCCCAAGATGGCTTCCAAGACGGTCCCAAGATGCATCCAAGATCGCCAAGATGGTCCAAGAGAGCCCAAGACGGCCCGAGGAGCGCCCAAGAGGCCCCGAAGACAGCCCAAGAAGCCTCTTTGTCATTTGCTCAAACACGGCCTTCCGACGACCCAGGAGGCCCCCAAGATCGCCCATAGAGACCGTCAAGATGGCCCCATAGAGATCGCCCATAGAGACCGTCAAGATGGCCCCATGTCGGCCCAAGGACGCCCCAAGGCGGCTCAGAGAGGCTCCCAAGACGGCTTCTGACGGCGTCAGACGGGCTAGGAACGCCGCAAAACTGCCACAGATGCCTAAAGGCCCCCAAGAGGCCCAAGGAGGCCCCCAAGGAAGCCCCCAAGAGGCCTCCAAGAGGCCCCCAGGAAGCTCCCAGGAGGCCCCAAGAATGACCCGAACAGCTTCCAAGCGGGCTGCTCATCTTTCTCCTCCTCCTCCTCCTCCTCCTCCTCTCCTCCTCCTGTATCCTCCTTCTCCTCATCCTCCCCTTCCTCCCCCACGTGGTCCTCAAAGGGCTTCCGCAGCGGCTGGGGAAGGAATGGCGCACAAGCGTGGCCAAACGTTGCCCAAACGTTTGGCCACATAGGCGTACCATGAAAGGCAGGAGGCGGCGGTGTCTCGCCGTGGGCGTCTCCGATCCGCCGCCCCTTGTATTACTTGCAAGAGACGTTATTGGCGTGCTGGGCAACAACCGTTTATACCCTGACAAGATGTTCCCCATGGCTTCTGGCACACCCCGGCGGCAACACTGAATAGCCCCGAAGAAGCACAGAGTCCTCTCCTATGGCCTCCAAGGCGGCCAAGATGGCCCAAGATGAGCTACAAGACGGTCCCAAGGTGCCTCCAATACGTCCGAGATGTCCCTAAGAGGGTCCAGGATGGCCCAAAGGCGCATCCAAGACGGCCCACGAAGCACTCAGGACGGCCCGAGATGGCCTCCAGACGGCTCAAGCGGCTTCTAAGGCGCTCCAAAGTGATTTTACGAGGATCTCCAGGAGGCGCTCAGGAGGCCAACAGTCAGTGATGCCCCGACGGTGTTCCAAAGCTTCGGAGCATCGCCCCTTCGGGCTTCCACGAGCGAGGACGGCCTCAGATGCTTCAAAGATAGCGCCAGGGCGACCCACGAAGCACCAAGCTGGGCCCCGAGACGGTCCAAGAGCGCCCCAATAGGGCCCAAGAGGCTCCCAATACAGCCCTACGCAAGACGACTCCAGAGACCTCCAAGACTGCCCGAAAGCGTCATCTCTTGGGGCGCATCCTTGACTTCCGCCTCCTTCCGTCGGCCTTCCGCCAGCTTCCGCCGGCGGAGGCGGCCTCGTTCTACTTCTGCCGCCTTTCGCTGGCCGTCCGCCGCCTTCCGCCGAGGGAGAGATGGCAACTCCTTCAATCCTCGAAGGCATGGCCCTTTCTGGAACGCCCCATACAGTCAACCAGTATAGTAACGATGCGCGATAAGGATACAAGGTCCTTGGACGCCCGTGTCGAAGCTTTTCGAGCGGGGCGCGGCCAGCGAAAGCGACGAAGGATGCACCGAGGAGGCAAGGATGCAAGGGTACCCTCGGTAAGGTTGCCCATCCTTACTATGCAGGTTGACTGCATTGTCAAGTCGCTATCCCTTTACCTCTTCCTCTCCCCCCAGCTAAAGGGCGGGGCTGGGCCTGGGGCCCTCTTGGGGCTCTCTTGGGGCCGTCTGGGGGCCCTCTTGGGGCACTCTTGGGCCGTATGGGGGCCCTCTTGGACAGTTTCCGGCCCCTTTTGGGGGCCTCTGGGGCCGTCTTGGGACGATCCTCTGGCCCGTCTTGGGACTATCACAGAATTCGTACGTACAGACGGGCCAGAGGAAGGAGATAGCCAACTCCAGGGCGAGAGAAAGACGGAGGACAGAGATAGAAGGGAGGAGGGAGTGCGGCCATTGTTCCCGCTGACAGCGGTCAAGCGCAAAAGCTGAGTTCCTCCAAAGGAGCTGCTAGCCCTCGCAAGGAAAGACCATGCCTGGCAGCGCAGCTGTGGGAGGATGGGGGTCTCAGCCCGCTGAGTGCATAGCAAGGGCAGTGAGATGCATTCTGGCCGGGTGAGATAGCGGCCATGGTCTGCAGCTGTTCCGCGGCAGTCTGCTCGTGCCGCTAGGCCTCCCTCGCAAGGAAAGACAATGCCTGGCAGCGCAGCCTGTTTCATGGAACGCGCACAGATCCCGACGGAGGACCATGTTCAGCACAGGAGCTCCGAAAGGCGTCCCGAGCGGGAGCCCAACTGAGCGCAAGCTAAGGTAGCTACAGCTCAGGCAAGCGTCAGCCAGGGGTCGGCCGAGTTTGCGGTTTAGCTTCGTCGTCGTCAGAACTGAGCTGAAAATTATCCAGGCGAAGGACCCAACCATATGCAGTTGTGAGTATCGCAATTGTGAGTATCTTCTTCGGTGGCGCTCCCTACGGGGCCACGAACCGCATGAGGGGTGTGCCGAAATGTGGCGGGGTACACAACGCAAAGGAATACGATAGATCTGATTACGAGAGAAAGAACGCGGGTGAGTCAGAGCGCGAAGGAATCTGAGTATGAATGGGTCTGCGCGCGAGTGAATATATTTGCATGAATGCGATCATGGAACCGCCTAGTGTAAGTGTCGAGCATGCCTGTTCGAACACACGTGACACTGGGCGTGGCCGCCGCAGGCAGCTTCCGCGGGAACCCCGACGGCAGCGTCCGCACGTCGCGACGCCCATGTCGGCACGCCTCTTGCGAGGATCGCGCCCGCTTTCGGCTCTTCTTTTCCTTCCTCTTTGCCCGCGCACTCCAAAATCCAAGGCTGCGGGCGCAGCGCAGCGCGGAGTCCCCGCGACGCGCGCTGGTCGCCCCGGGCGGGGGCCCAGCGACGCGCGCGGGTCGTCCGCTGCGCGAAGCAGAGAGAGCTGACTAGCTAACTGGCTGGCTGATAGCGGGCAAGTCTCTGACCGCTGGGCAGAGCGACGACGGGCGAACGAGGCGCCGGGCCCCCCGCAGCACGGGGTTCCCGCGACGCGCGCTGGTCGCCCCGAGAGGGTCCCAGCGACGCGCGCGGGTCGTCCGCGGCGCGAGGCCAAACAATTAGTCGGGCAGTCGAGAGAAGGCGCGGCTCGGGGGAGACGCTCCTCAGGTCAGGCCTCGCGGATGAACTCGGTGAAGCCGAGCTCCCTGGCGAGGGCCGTCGCTTCCCTCCTGCGCCGCTTCGTGCGCGCAGCAAACTGCTCCAGCTGCTTCCGCAAGCCCTGCGGCGGCCCTGCCAGGAAGAGCTCGATGCGCGGCGCCCGCATGAGCAGGAGGTCCTCGTGGCGCGTGGCGCGCGAGAGCAGCACGTAGAGCTCCAGCCACCAGTCGTCGTCCTCCTTCTTGCCGTTCCCTACCTCGTGGCGGCCGCAAACCAGGATCACGCCTGGGCGACGTCGACCGAGGGAGCAGCGCGCCGGGCAGCCGACGGCCCAGGGCGAGAGTCCACAGGACCGAGAGATGGTCTGGCCGCGGACTGCTCGCGCCCCGGAGGTCTGGCCGCCCCCGGAGCGCCGTTCCCCCGCCCCGTCGCCTTCGCGCATGGTGCGCCCCTGGCACGCCACCGTGGTGATGACCCTGCCGTGCGAGAAATGCGGGGGGTGTGCCGAAATGGGTGGGGGTGACGCATGCGGGCGGCGGCACTGAGGCCTTCGGTGGAGCTCCCTATGGAGCCACGAAACGTGTGAGGGGTGTGCCGAAATGGGTGTGGGGGACGCATGCGGCCGCGGGCACTGGGGCCTTCGGTGGAGCTCCCTATGGAGCCACGAAACGTGTGAGGGGTGTGCCGAAATGGGTGTGGGTGACGCATGCGGGCGCGGGCACTGGGGCCTTCGGGGGAGCTCCCTATGGAGCCACGAAACGTGTGAGGGGTGTGCCGAAATGGGTGTGGGGGACGCATGCGGCCGCGGGCACTGGGGCCTTCGGTGGAGCTCCCTATGGAGCCACGAAACGTGTGAGGGGTGTGCCGAAATGGGTGTGGGGGACGCATGCGGCCGCGGGCACTGGGGCCTTCGGTGGAGCTCCCTATGGAGCCACGAAACGTGTGAGGGG